GAGGGGAGGAAGGATCAGGGTCTGAGAGCAGCTGAAGGATGAGCCTGGGGAAGAGGGGTCCGGTGGGTTCTGTTTAGCCCCAGAGGGGAGACCTGGGAGCCAGGGGTAGCAAGTCTTGGAGCCCCAGATTGGGACAAGATGCTGCCTCAAAGGGGAATGGCCTGCCCCCATGGCAGGGTGGGGAGCCAGCTGAGTGTGACAGATCAGGGACTGGACTGGACACCCTCTGACCATCCAGGGCTTTGGGTATTATTACTCCTGTCTTACAGATAAGGAACCTGAGGCTCAAACAAGTTAAATGACTTGCCCAGGGTCACACAGTTATCAATTCATCCATAAGCATTTAGGAAGTGCCTAACATTCACCAGGCAAATACTAAAAATCCATTTCCCCTGCATCAGAAAGCTTACATTATAGATGGGGAGACATGCACCCATCGAAGAAGAGCCGGCGGGGGGGAACCTGTGGCCTGGAGGCCACATGGGGCCTTATAAATCCTCGGGTGCAGCCTTTTGACGGAGTCCAAGTTTTACAGAACAAATCCTCTTATTAAGGGGATTTGTTCTGTGAAGTCTGGATTCAGTCAAAGGGCCACACTTGAGGACCTAGAGGGCCGCAGGCTCCCCACCCCGGCTTTAGAGGGAGGTAGCAGCCTCCAGGATTAGGAGTCCAAGAGGGCACCTGAGCTACGCTCTGAAAGAGAGCTGGGCACTCTAACAGGCAGAGACAAGCGAGCAGGACAAGCCACACTAAAGGGAACAGCCTGAGCAAAAAAAGCTTAAGGGGCAGCGATGGGAAGCGGCATCCGCGAGACAACAGAGCGGGCCAGACCGGCCAGGCTGCAAGCCTGGACGCCCACCTGCTGGGCTGCAGCCTGGCCGTGAGGCAACCAAGGGCAGAGGAGCTGGCACGTGAGCCCAGAGGCAAGAGAGGAGAGCTGGCCTCCTGAAGGCAGGTGAAGTACTCTGTGAGGTTCTGAGCACAGCTGCCTCCTGGCCCTGCGTCCAGCCCTCTCTGCACTGCCACAGGCCGCCTCCTGCTGCCCAGACTGTCATCCCCGGGCCAGTCACTCTGCTCCTCCTCAGGCAGGATAATGCCTGAGCTGCCTGCCTCTGGGGCGGGGTGAAGATAAAGGTCAAAAGGTGGAGAAATGACGTGATTATTACTACCCGTTGAAGAATAATAAGGGACCGATCACTGGGGGACAGCCATGCAATGTCTCTTCCACTAGCATTGTGATCTGGTATCTAAATGTGAGGCTACCTTTCGTCTGCGTCTGTGGGTCACCTCCTCCACTAGACTGCAAACTCCTGAAAGGCAGAGGCTTCCCCACCAAGCGCCTAAGAAGGCCTTTCCTCATACTCCTCGGGTGCTGAGTAAATGCCTGCTAAATCAAACTGGTCTATCGGCATGTCCAGACACCATAAAGCAATGCACTGACCCCTCTGAGGGCGGCTTAGCTTGTCCCCTCTCCTGACGTCTGTGAGTAGAGGCACAGTGTGTTTATCTGAATGCTGAAAATTACAAAGTAAATGGGAATCTTGGGGCTGCGACAGCTCCTGGGTCTTTGTTGTATTAATAAGATTGCAGGAATCTGGGCACACTTTCAAGTGTTTATTTGGTAAATGCTAGTTCCCAGGGTGGGAGGAACATCCCACTTGGTCTTACTGGATTCTGGGCCTACAGAAAACGGCTTGGTTGAAGTCTTTACCTTTTTATATGAGGGGAAAATAACACACCTACTGCTTCAAGCTTCTGACAATGGATGAAAAGCCACCTGTTAAGTCAGTTTTCTAATGACTATTTCCTGTTACAGTGACACCAAGGTAGATCTCATCTGGGATAGTCTGCACTTTCCTCGTCAGAGGTAACACACAGGGTCCAGTTCTACAAACTCAGAGCCTCAGGATCGGAAGGGACTAGAGAGGGCACCGAGTCCAGCCTAGACCTCCACCCCCAACTAGTGGCCACCTAGCATCTGCTTCAGGCAGGAGCTGCCCACCTCCTGGGGCATTCCATCCCACTCTGGGACGTCCCTCATTGGCAGGAAGCTTTCTGACACCAAGCCAAATCTGCCTCTCTGAAATCTGACTCTAATTAATGTTCCTCACTTTGACCTTTGAGGGGGGCCAAGCTGAGCACCAGTCAAAAGAACTGAGTTCTAGGCCTGATGTTGGACCTCAGTCAAGTTACTTAACTACTGACTCAGTTTCCTTGCCTGGACTAAGTGATTTCTAATTGCCCATCAACACCAAAGTTCTATGGTTGTTCTCAGACTATTAAATGCTTGTGAATTAGATGCCAAATCGGTGCATTTACCAGATTTTTAAAAAGTTACTAATGAATTTCTAGATCCGAGAAAGGCTGGTCAAAGTTTACTGTAAATGTTGTTGGCTTACATTATTTATCAATGAAAATGAGCTCTTAATCTCAAGAGAGAGACATCCCTCAATACACAGCACGTTTCTGGAAGTCAAATTGGATTTTGAAAGACAAACAAAGCTCTGTCATGGGGCCTGGAGGAGGAAGGAATTCACAGCGTCTGTCTCTTGTTCTACATCAGAGGTTGAGCCTTGGACGTGGAACTTGGTGGCCCCTTGTGGCCACGAATGACACAGTGATCTGAAGTTAGCTGGACTCTGATGATGTCCCCTAGACAAACATGAGTTAAGCTTAGAAGCAGGCAGAGAGCCTCTCTCTGAGGAGAGCAGAACAGTCTCAATCCCATTGTCCTGCCTCCCATCCTGCAGGAATGGGGGGGGGAGAAGGGGAGAAAGATGCCTCTTCTGCTTCCCCGTGAGCCACGCCACCATCCCCCCCCCCCCCACAGGCAGACTTCCCTTACACTCCATGATCCAGGCCTGGCATTCCCCACGAGCAAACTCCCTCTACACCTGAAGTGGTGGGACCCTCGAGCCTGGGGATGCTGCAGGGAGGGCCTGGGCCACACCCCCAGACAAGATGTGGCCGAGGCAGGTCTTCCTGGTCACCAGGTGCTCGCTGACTCTTCCAGAAGATAATGCAGGCAGTGAGCTTTGCATCCTTATAGAGGCCACAGAAATGTCAGATATTGACCAACATCAGCTGCCTTTCCTACCTCCATCTGCATCACTTCTTTGTTCCCATCTCACCCTACCTCGAGATACCTCTTTGTACAGAAGTCTCACCCCTTCACTAGAACCTAAGTGCCTGGAGGGCAAGCACTCAGTCAGTCTTCAACTGAGCCCCTGGCCAATCGGTATCTCGTTAATACTTGTTGAATCAAACAGAACTGAACATTTAGGGATCCCCAGAATCAATCCAGAAGCCCTGAACTTGAGAGCACCCCTTGCGGTGAAGCACACGTCCCTGAGGCCTATTTCTAAAGCTCGGGGTGCTTCCTCTGGAAAACTGCTTCACTTGAAAGCCTTTTTTTTTTTTCTGTAAAATGAACAAGCCTGGAAAAGATGCCAGGAGGATTGGCCAATGAAGGGGAAGGCCAAGAAGGGCTCCAGCTGGAGGGGGAGGGAGAAGCACAAGCCGCCTCACCTGGGCTGTGCCTCTGCCTCTTCTGATAATCATCAGCACAGTCATTTCTATAGCAGTTCAACACGCTTTATCTCATTGATCTTCATAACTATCCCAGGAGGGAGATACTATTAGTATCCTCATTTTGCAGATAAGCAAATTGAGGCCTAGACAGGGGAGGGTCACAAAGTCCTGGGAAAGTTCCCAAGGGCCTGGGTTCTAATCTGTACCTGGCACTCGGCGACACTGGGGTCTTATTTTCTAACCTGCCTCCCCACAAATTGAGGATCCGAGGATAACATGCCCCACAAAACGCTTCCACTATCATACAACGTTCTGTAAGTGGGGGAGGGGCCTTCTGGTGTCTTCTCCTGGGGGGCCAAGGCATCACCTTTTTATGACCAAAGAGTGAAGAAGAGCATTTCTGTGAAATGATGAAGAAATATTTCATTTCTAAAGGCACACTTTTCCATTTACTGCATCACCTCTGAAAAAGATGTGCCAAGACAGTAATTGGGAAACATTTCCCAGAATATCAAATGACGCCCAAAAAAGCAGGCAGCTTCGCCGGTCTCCAGCTAGGCCCAGAAGCCAAAGCCCAGGCCTGGGCTCATCTTTAGAAGTTCTGATCGCTTGCATTCCCTGCCGGCGTTCTCCCTAAACACCACGGATCGTGTTCATTACAAGCTTCAACAAGCATACTCTCCTCACATGAATTCAAAATCTGACAGCAGAACAGTGTTAATTTTTGCTTATGTCCTAAATTATTAGAAAGAACGGTTAAGAAAAAAGTATCCAATTTGTTGAGATTGCATTTCATGGGAACCATCAGACCACGGCTGGTTTCTTAGGCCTCAGCATGAGTCCAGTTCTTCCATGCTGTATTTCACACACCAACAGCCACAGGAGTCATTTGCATACCAAAAACACATTCGTAAAAGAAACCAGTTTGCACAAAAGCTGGGGGAAAATAGAGTTTGCCATGGAAGGCTTCAGCAACACAAAACCTCCAGACCTGGTTCCCTCCCAGTTTCCCAATTCACTACATCCTAGTTAACAGCTAAACACTTTGGGATGGGCATCATTTAATTTTTAAATGATTCTCAGTTGATGTGTTTTTAATGAAATGTAGCCCACGTTCCTCAGCCTTCCCCTGGGTTCTTAGTCCAGGGGCATTGACGGGTCTACGCCAGTTATACCACAGGAGAGGGGCAGCTTCTGACTCTCATTTCAGGTCTTAAGGATGCCCACTGGCTACGGGGCCACATGTACTGATGGCGGCCAGCTGGTGAATGGACAAGTCAGACAGACTCTGGAAGCAAATTGAGGAGGATGGAGAAACACCAAGAAGTGTCAGGGATGGGGAAAACGAGGCTACTGAGGTTCCTGGGAGGCTCCCTGCCTCTGGGCCATCACCATTTCAGCTCTATCCCAGAGGGGTTCTTGGAACCAACCCACGAGATTCTGTGTTCGCTTGATTACATGGTACTTACAGAGAAGTTATCACGACCCAGTCAATGCTTGATGCCTTTTGTTTTAATCTGTTTTTTTCAGATGGGTTCCTCTGGTGAATCATCTAGATTTCTGGAGGATTTGAAAGAAAGCTTGTGTCTGGCCAAACGAGAAGCAGAAAAAAAGAAAAGTACAGAATGAAAAACAAAAGGTAAAGACACACACTAAAAATGGTGAAACATTTGATTTTTCTTAAAACTAAGGCAAAAAAAAAAAACGACTTTGCTTTTACATGCTAGATAGACAGATCCAGAATACAATGTCCTGGGGCCATGAGGTAGGCAGACGGCACAGTGGATAAAGAGGCAGACCCGGAATCGAAGACCCATGTTCAATCCTGCTTCAGATACTCTGTGACTCTGGTTTCCTCATCTGTGAAATGAACATAAATAAAAGCACCTACCTGACCGAGGAGTCGGAAGGCTCAAATGAGACAATGAAAAATGCTCTGCAAACCTTAAGGCACTATGTGAATGCTGGCTGTTATCATTGTTATTATGGTATAGGTCAGTGCTAAAAAGAGGCTCTGCAAGGCTCCACGACAAACCCTGCAACAGCCCTGCTGCCCAATCCTCGGGCCTCTCCCCCAGCTGTAAAAACACTTGCCACCGGCAGGTGTTGATTTTAAAGACTTCCAAGTGACCGAAGGCCAAGCACAGCCTCTCTGGGCTGGACTCAATGCACTCCTAAGGTCCTGCCAGCTCTCGATCTCTGATTCTAAGACTTTCAAACCATCCCCCAAAGACAAGCAAAAACAGTCCAACAGGGCATGAGGGGCCTAACAGAACAGAAGGTCTTTGGGGCCTTTCTGCCGAGGAGCCTGGTTAGATGTAGCTACGGATCTACAGGTTACACTCGGGTCACGTCATCATGTCCATGTTTATCAAAAATGTTTATTTTCAGGAGCATCATTTATTTTTAAATTTTACTTCTTTTTTTTCTGAACTTAAGCACCAAATTATGGGACTTTCCATAGGTAGGATTGTACATGAAACTACAGGTTTCTATTCTGGAAAACTTGCTTTTCTTTGAAAATATGTAATAGGTTAGGCTTGTGCTTGTCTGTGACTCTTTCTGGCCTTTCTTCTGTTCCCTTCTGTGCATTTTTTAAAAAGATGCTCCAATGACCATCTTTTCATTACTCCTACTAGTACGACTCCTCCTCCTCCCCCCACCATCACCCTGTTCCTAGCCTCCCCGCTTCCTACTTAACCTCTGAGAAAAAAAAAAAAAAGAAGAGGCCCTTATACCAAGACTCATCATCAGGCAAAATAAATCCCACTTTGGCAGGGCCCCAAGAGTGGTCGTTTTGTTTCCTGCTTCTTCTGCTTCTTGGATCCGCCAAGCAGCAAGGAGCACGATTTCTGAGGTGGGCATCAGTGGACAGTTGTGGAGCTGTTTCGGCTGTGTCTGACTCTTCACGATCCCATCTGGGGTCTTCTTGGCAAAGAGACTGGACTGCTTGGCCATTTCCTTCTCCAGCTCATTTTGCAGATGAGGAAACTGAGGCAAACTGGGTTCAGTGACTTGCCCAGGGTCACACAGCTAGTGAGTGTCTGAGGCCAGATTTGAACTCAGGAAGATGAGTCTTCCTCACTCCAGGCCCAGCACTCTGCGCACTATGGTGCCACCTAGCTGCCCCATTAGTGAATGGAGCCAATCTCAAATACAAAAATCTCTGGGTTCAGATACCACCTGACCCCTACTGGATGTATTCCTTCAGATCTCTAGGCAGAGGTGGTACTCAGCTCACCCAGCTACATGAGGCCCACAACACTCCCAACCTCCACAAGAAATAGATTAAAATGTAACCGGGAAATATTTAACAAAATAAATTAAAATAAAAGGTAGATAATACATTCTAAAAGTAAGGCGATGTGTGGCCCATAAAGATAGTGTTATAGACAGATTAGTGTCCCTGTTTCTATTTGGGTCAGACACCCATGAGCTGCAAAAAAGCCAAGTTAATAAGAACTTATTAAGCATCTACTATGTACCAGGCACTGATTGTGCTAAGATACAAAGAGGGGCAAAAGATGGCTCCTGCTGTCAAGGAGCTCACAGTCTAATGGGGAAGTCAATATGCAAATGACCAGCTATGAACAGATAGATCCCAGATAAATTAGAGGTGATGGTAGAGGGAGTTTCCTTACCCAGAGTTCACTATACTGTTATATATCATATGTGTACTGTTATATATAATTTATATAATATATATACTGTTAAATATCCTATATACTATTATATATCACATATACTGTTACATATAATATATGGTATAATATATCATATCCACTGTTATATATTATATATATGCTGTTACACATATATACTATTATATATATATACTGTTATATAGCATATGCTGTTCTATATCATATACACTGTTCACATATCATATACATATATGTATATACTCATATACATATGAGTATATCATGAGTATATCATATATACTCATAATCATGTATACCATTTTATATCATACATACTGTTATATATCATATATCTCATATATACTATTATATATCACGTATACTCATATATCACATATACTATTATGTATCACACATACTGTTATATATCATATATATAACTCCTAGGACCAGTTTCCATCACTATTCTTTTTAGGCCTGGAATAATTTAGGCCCCATGCTAGTAACCTTGTCTTAAGCTATGGTATGTTTGAAAAATCACTAAAAATAAAAATCTGTATTGGAGATGTTGTTTGTTTTAAATCCTAGGCTATATACATCCTTGACAGCCAGTGTCTTATACCTAAAAAATTCAGCTCTACCACCAGTGTAAGTCACCCTGGGAAAGTTCCCTGATCCGTCTGGGACTGGTCTAAATCATGGCATGAGACTGGACCACACTCTGTATCAAGCCCACAGACCCATCACCACAACACTTATCTGCATTCTCAGGCTTCCTTAAAGGTCAGTTATGAGGAAGGCAGCTAAGAGCTGTTCAGCTATCTCCTTCACAGGATGAGCTAATCGTCCCAAATTTGCTAAGTGGTCCTAGAGTCCCATAGAAGGAGACCAGGCTGCATGCACTTGGACTATACTCAGGCCCTGCTCTGAAAGCCTGAAACAGCTTTCCCTTGTATAGACGTTAAAGTGCCAGTCCTATCAGTCGCTAACACCTGCCTTTTCACCTTGCGGGGCCCCTCCTCTCCAATTATATCCTCAAGTTTTCAAGGAAGGAAAAGAAGAGCTTGGAAGTGGGGGAGAAGGGGAAGCTATTTAGAAGACTTTTCCACCTGTATATCATCGGCCTCCATTTTTACTTTGGTTTTGATGTTTACCTAAAGGTATTCATCATTTTCCCTCCATGAAGTTAAAAGCAGCTCCTCCCCTCGAATGTTGGGACAGGAGCAGAGCTGTAGGTTTCAAAGGAATAGGAAAACTGGAAGCCCACTTGATAGAGTTCACAAAATGCTGTGCTTGAACAAACTGATAAAAGAAACCCACTGAGGTTACATTCAGCTCCTCTCCCCAAGGTGACAGAATTCAAAAAGACGAAATGATTTAAAAACCTCCCTAAATGATGCTAAAAATCCCTTTTTAAAACAGTTCTTTGCATATAATCAAGAAACCATTCATCTTTCAGACCACAGAAAACAAAGTGCTGCAGTCAGATGAGATAGCCTTTTGCTTTAAGTAATTATTCTTGCCTTTGAAAACTGAGAAATTAGAGGAAGAGTGGGAAGAAACACGTTCTAAAGACACCCTTACGCCTCAAGGAAAAATATTCATAACATTATTATAATCATTATCCCCGGATTCTTCCGAATCTTTATCATTGGTGACATTAACATGTAAATATGGCCTTTGTTTTTCAAGTGCTCAACTACTTTCCCCCCTTATTCACCTCTCAAAGGACTGCTCAATGCTTGACATCACAACTGGTTGTCATGAAATTAATTATATCCTCGAGAAAGCTGCTTTAACCATCACCTGGGGGAAAAGAGGAACACACTAAGCCAGCTTCCGCAGTAACTACAAAAATCAGAGTGAAAGGAGAGAAAGAAAACGGAGACTTCTCTCATTCAACCTTCCCTAAACCTGCTTTTTCAGTAACACCCCCAACTCCCTGGCATCCCAGGCATCAAGGAAGGACTGCTGTGAATGAGCATGCCTGAAATACTCCCAGAATCCAGGACTTCACAAAATTCTCAGCCAGGCTAAAGGTCTAAGCAGCCGGAAGCGAAGCAGTAGAGAAGACAGGGGGGCCTTCCAGTTTGAGGGCTGGCCTGCATCCTAGTCCTGGTTCCACCATCAAACCACCAAGCTACCTGGAAAGCCAGTGGCCCTCTCCAACCTATAAAATATAGTAGTTGGACTAAACCTCTGACGGCATTTCAGGATCAGACCATCTGAGTCTGGGCCCTAAGAGTGATTCAGCTCAAAAGGCTGAGCTGCACACATGTGGAGGGCTATTGTTTGGGATACACACGGATCTAGAACCGGAAGGGACCTTACAGAGGCTGACAATCACCCCTCAATTTTACAGATAAGGAAAAAGGGGTCACCCAACAGTAAGGGGTAGGACTGGAGTTCAAATTGGGGCCTCCTGAGCCCAAACAAGATCAGTCCTCTCCTCAGGGTAAAACACCACCCCTTGAAGCAGAAGGATAGTAACAGGAACACACACTGGGTTGACTCTAAGAACCATTGATAGATACATGGACCTCCTGAATCCTGAAGGGCTTCCCTTAAGCTACAGAGGCAGCCACAACAAGAGGTCAGTGAATAACCTGGGGGGATGAGGATCCTAAAATCAGAGTTGGAAGGGACCTCAAAGGCCTAGTCTTCATTTTACAGATGAGAAAACTGAGGCCCACAAGATGAGCGACTTGCCCAAGGTCCCAGTTAATGACATGGGTAGGATTTGACCTAAAGCATGAACGCTCTTTGCATAACGCCAGGCTACCTCCCTGAAGGGCCTGCCAAGCTCTACCTCTCTGATCTTATGATTTTATTCTTGCTCTAGAATCTGACCAGACATCTGTTGCTCCAGACTACGTTATTTATATTAAATGTCAATAAAAGGCTGAATTAGAAATTCAGGTAAATGAGAAATTGCTGGGTCATACAGATGGTTCCCTTGGGTTGATTTTCATATTCTCTAAGTAAGCACAGGAAGTCCTACAGAAGTTTCCTAGAGCACCCCTCCCCAGCCAAATTTCATGGGGTCGCTGTGGCTACAAACCTCATCCAAGAACTGCCACAGAATTCCACAACCTGGCTCACCTAGCCTCCAGGCTGAGAATTTGAAGCAATTCCCTAAGTTATTTTTAAGAAAGTATTTTACTTGGTGAGTTGCTGGCCACAGCAAATACCTACTAACGTTTCAGCAATGTGGCAACTGTGGGGAGAAATGCACATCTATGCTTTCGATTTGGTAAAATGAGACTTATCACAACTGCCACTTAAAAGAACAGTTTGGATTTTCCACCCAACATTTCAAATGCAATGAAAAGCCCAAGCATTCCGACCCAAGGCCCGTGACTTTTTTTTACGCTCTACCAATGGAAGATTTCATGAAAACAGGAGACAAGAAATATAATAATCAATTTCACTTTTTTATTCACACCTCACCTACCTTTGTTCTTATTATCTACTATAGTCTTCATTACCACTCAACACATTTCCAACATTCTTAGGGAAAGTCTAAAACACATCTTTCAAGCATTTTGGTTCAAATTAACATCTTTAGCTAACAAAGGTTAATAATCCAACATACGCAAATACCATCCTACACCTCTATGACTGTCACGGGATGTCTTTGCGAGTTAAAATGTCCTCACCACATCTACAGATCTAGTTTTCAGAAGCCCATTTCAGAGAATTCGCACAGACAGACATAGGTAAGCTACAGCAAACTAAGGCTTGGTTCGTGGCTTCCGAACTAAGTCGAACAGACTTCAAATACAGTATAACTATTATAACTGAATTAAAATTTAAAAATAACTGAACAGCAAACTTGACTTTTCCCCTTCAAGAAGTTTACAAAACCATACTTTTTACTCGACAGAAGAAAAAAAGAACCTCAGGAGTTTGCAAAGCTTTTTGTTTACGTATATAAGGCAGGGCGATCTTCTCTGGCCGTACGGCTGTCAAAGCTAGTTATACGGAATAGCAATTTGGAGAACACAGATTTTTCTTTACTTTTTTTCCTCCTGAACGTCCCAAGTAAGCCTCTCATTCCATGCTGACTTCCCACTTTGACCCAACTGCAGCAGGTGTTTAGGGGAGCCACCGGCAACTTCACCACGACAAGGGGACAAAGCAAAATAAGAACAGAGATGATCATCTACTTCTCCCTAGAAAACGCCTACTCTACATCCAGAGTCGATCTGAAAGAATGAGCAGCAATATAATCAATCCACACATCCACGTCACGCGCCCGGGGTCACTCGGCCCGGGGCACCCCCAGCTTCCGGCGCAGGGCCTGGGCCGCCCGAAGTGCACCGCGGCCGCGTGGTAGGCGAGCCACTGCGGGGCCGAGAGCGTGCCGATCGGGGGCAGGCGCGGCCGAAGCCCTTCCCCACGCCCTCGAGCCCGAGCTCCTTGTTCAGCACCGACACCACCGAGTCGGCCGGGACACCCAGCCGCTCGGCCTGGCAGCACTGGCAGCGCGGCTTGGGCGCGCGGGCGCGTAGAGCGCCTCCGTGGCGCGCTCCAAGCTCGCCAACGTCACCGCGGCGCAAGGACCTGGCGCGTGCAGAGCGGGCCCAGGCCCTTGTGGGACGTCCGCAGGCCCTCCTCGCTGCACAGCGCCAGGTACGTGGGCCACCCGAACTCGCAGCTGTTGCCCTCGCACTGCGGCGGCGGCTGCTTCCTCTTAAAGGGCCACGACAAGAACGAGCGGTTCTTGAACGCCGCTGGGCGCGGGGGCCGTGGCCGTGGACAGAGGGGAGGAGGGGCGGGCCGGAGACGGTTGGCGCCCCTGACAGCAGGAACGGGCCTCTTCCCCCACGGACGAGCGCGAAATGAGCCCGGGGCGGCCAGGGGTACCGCCCTGCCTCGCCTCCCCCTCAGCCAATAACGTCTGATCTCTTGCCCAAAAGCTCTGTCCATTTTACTTATCCCATTCCTTTCCCCACCCCCACCCCGGCGTTGCCTTCGGCCAATGGCCATCGTACTTAATTTCCCGCTTCCCGGAGGCCACCCTCTCTTAGCCAATCATCATCTTCACGCGGGGCTTCACCGTAGCCAATCATCATACCTTCCACTGGTCTTTCTCGCCTTTAATCAATCACCATCTGGACACCGTCAGCCAATCACATCCTGTTGCTTGGCTTCTAACCTTCCCCGCCTCCGGTTTATTTTCTACCCTCCCAACTCCCACCCAAAAATCACGCTCCTCACTCCTGGCGGCAAAGCCTTGACTGGCGCTTCCTCAGCCAATCACATTCTCCTCCTTTCCTCAAGCCCAGCCCGATTTTTTCTAACCCCACCTTCCCTAAGTCTTTCAACCAACGATCATCATCCTTAGAGTCCCTCCTTCCTAGAGTGCCACATTGCTGAGCCAATGATCAACTTCACACCTCATTCTCCATTTCCCCCTCCCCCCATAGGCAGCCAGAGGCCAGTACTCCTGGGCTCTTCCTCCCCCTCCCCCACCTCCTCAGCCAGTCCTATTGGCCCCCTTCAAGTCCAGCCCATCCACTCAACAATTATAAATCAATAGCCAAGGGGAACCTAGGTGGCAGCAGTGGATAGAGCACCGGCCCTGAAATCAGGAGAATCTGAGTTCAAATCCGAACTCAGACCAAACACTTGACACTAGCTGTGTGACCCTGGGCAAGTCACTTATCCCCAATTGTCTAAAACGGGAAAAAAAAAAAACCAACAGCAATCATGGGGGGTGGGGGGAGAAATCATAGCGCCTAGAAACCCAGGTTTAGAAACCTCAGAAACAATCATCTATTCCAACTCTCCCATTTTACAAATGGAGACACGGAGGCCGGGCAAGGAAAGGAATTTGAACTCAGGTCCTCAGACTCAACGCATTGCTCTTTCTGCACTCCTGTAGCCAATCACCAGCATCACCTCGCCCCCCTCCTCCACCAGCCGAGACTCCTCTTTTACTCCATCTAGCTCAGAGCTCCAGGCCCTGCTCAAACCTCCTCTGCCAGGCTCTCTCTCATCACTTTACTTTGGAAAATTAATGGGCATAAAGGCCAGGGGTCCTGCTCCCGCCCTTGCTCGTTCTTCAGCCAATCAATATCTACAAGCTACTCTTCCTTTTGCCTCTTTCTTTGTCACTTTACATAAGAGAACCAATGGCCTTCTTGCTCGACGATGTGGTTCCGCCCTCTTAATGCCTCTTCAACCAATCACCATGCTCAAATCATGCTTTCCCACCCTACCCCACCAAGCACCTTTAAGGGCATTTCCGCACCTTTGCCACGAGCAACCAATGGAGAGCCGGCGCTTCAGCTCCGCCCCTGTTAGTATGTCTTCAGCCAATCACCACATTCAACAGTCATTTTTAAGGGAGTGACCAATGAAAATCCTGTGCTGAAGCGCTCATTCCCTAGGCTCCACGCCTACTTACATCTCCTCAGCCAATCACTATATTCAATAAACATTTCTAAGGCATGTTTTCCCTCTTATGCCTGGGTAACCAATAGGCATCCTGCTTAATCTCTCGTTCCCTGAGACCCGGCCCCCACTCACACTTTCTTGACCAATCACCAAGCTCCTGCAAGTAGCAAGGCTCTCTCTGTCCCCTTGTGAGTCCCTCTCTACCCTCCTTCTTTACTACGGGTGACCAATGGCCATAGCTCCCGCCCCAGCTCAGCCAATCCCTCCATTCACCTGGCGCTTCACCGCCTCCTAGGTGGGCCCGGCCTCCCTCGCCCCTTTACCTCGGGCGCCCAATGGCTGCGCTGCTCCTGACTCTGCCTGGGCTTCACTCTCTCCTGGGATGGGGGATGGACGGGGGAAGGGTCGGCCTATTCCTCCCGGAAGAGACCGTGGAACAGATAAATCAGCATGTGTAGGAAGGCATACACGCACGAGTAGGCGAGGAAGTAGGTGAATAAGCGCAGGACACACACAGAGGCATCCATGCACAGCGCTCTGAGCCCAGGGGCCTGCGCCGACCGCCTGCCCCGTCCCAGCCAGCAGCTTCAACCGGTGCGCACGCCCACCTGTTACCGTGGCAACCGCGGGCAAGCGGCGGCGTCCCCATCATTCTTTGGGACACCGCTGGCCACGCCCCCATCCGTACCCGACACCCAAGCTTCGCCTCCCACGTGGCTTGGCCTAGAGTCGGGTCCCAGAACCCGAAGCCCCGCCCAACCTAGGTGGGACCTCTGAGGCCCCCTCTTTTCTCAGCCCCCCCATCCAGCCATAAGCATTTATCAGGCGCTTGCTGTATACAGGATACTGTGTTAAGATTTAGGAGTAGAAGAGAGACAGCATGGTCCTTGACCTCAAGGAGCTTACAGTCTGGTGGAAGGGCAAATGCAGGGATAGACATGGGCAAATGGGAGGCAACCTCGGTTTGATGGAGCAGAATAAGTCTTGGCTCTGGAGTCAGAACCTGTGTGACCTTGGACAAGTCACTTCACTTGTCTGTGCCTCTGTAAAATGGGGATCAGACTAGAAGCTCCTTTGGAGATGGCGTTTGTAAAGCACCCTAGAAATGTGACCCATTTTCAATATGCTCCAGTCCCTATAAAGTCTGGTTTCTACCCTGCCCTGCCCTTTTCCAAATATTGGCATATTGGTATTTTGGAAAGACTTCTGGGGTCCTAGTGGACATCTGGATCTGAATCCCATCGAGTGCTGGGGCCAAAAAGACCTGACATCCCATCCTGTCCCAGATACTTCCCCGATACATGACCTCCAGCAGATCACTCACTAGCTCTGAGCCTCAGTTTCCCCATTTGTAAAAGGAAAGCAAATCACTGACCCTCTCTGATGCCCAGTTACCCTGACTGGCTGACCGTGTGACAGGGTGGCTGGGGAGGCCCATGAGCTTCGGCCCCTTTTGGGGGGCCACCTGCCCTGACCCCTGGCTAAAGGACAGGTATGACATTGCTCAACCAGGAGCCACTGGTCACTCCTGACCTTTAGACTGGGGCCCACCACAGGCATAGCTGTGGTGCCTACCTGGCTTTAATCAACCTTGTCAAGCCAGGTAAATGTCAGCTCTTCTTATTCCTGAAACTGTTCACTCAAAGGTCACCAATCTATGGCTTCCTTATGCCCATATCCACTGGCCTTTGATCACCTTCTGTTTCCTCCAGGGGGGAGTGAAGGTCGAACCCAGGGCTCCTCATTTGGGGTTTTCTTGGCAGAGATACTGGAGTGTTCTGCCATGTCCTTCTCCAGCTCATTTTACAGATGAGGAAACTGAGGCAAACAAGTGACTTGCCCAGGGTCACACAGCTAGGAAGTGTCTGAGACCAGATTTGAGCTCGGGTCTTTCTGACTCCAGGCCCTGCACTCTATCTGATGTACCCCTTAGTAGGCCCTTAATAAATGTTTACCGACTGACAGACGGACCTGGCTGGGACTAGCAGCTGTCCTGTGGAAGCAGCCCTTGGGTTTCTTCTGTTTATTCCACATTTTTGGCCTTTCTTTGCATGCCTAGCTTTTAGCATAGTGCCTGGCACCCAGGAAGTACTTAATAAATGCTTGTGGACTGCCTGTTCTGTTCTGGCCCAGAGAGCAAAACGAGGAGGAACAGGAGGCAGACCTGAGTCCAGACTGAGTCCAGGGAAAACGCCCTACAAATCGATCACCTTCGTTTCTGTAGCTTTTTAAGGTCTGCTGAGTACTTTGTGCGTAATAACTCTCTAAGAGGCACATAATGCAAATTTCATCATCCCCATTTTACAGAGAAAGGCCCTGAGGCTGAAAGAAGTTGTTACTGCCTGTGTTTACACTGCGAGTGAAGGGCTGAGGCTGGATCTGAACCCAGGGTTCCTGACTGACTGCAGCAGAGTGTCCACACGAGGCTCCCTCTCTGAACCAATCGAATTACAGCTAGCTAAAAACAGAACAAACCCCACTTACGTTCCTCTTTGTATCCCCAGCAATGAGCACATCACTCTGGACCTGGTAAGCACTTAATCATTGCATTTTCATTTCATTCATTCCTTCCTTCATTCCCAACCCTGGGGCAGCATGGATGGAGGCTGGATGGCTGCAGGTTAGACCAGACTGCCTCACAGCACCTGTCCAATCCCAACAATCTCTGTTCTGTGAAAGAGCCTTGAATGAGGGGGTGTGAGACTCAAATTCCAATCCTGACCAACACCTGGATAACCTTAGGCCATTGTGAATTGCATCCCCTTTCTCTTTCTGGATCCACATTTGCTCATCTTCAAATGGAGGGGTTGAACAAAAGACTAAGTCTCTTACAACCCTAAACAAACAAACAAATCAACAAAGGAGGAAAGACAGGAAGATAAATAAATAGATAAACGAAGGGATGGATGGATGGATGGATAGATGATAGTGATAGATAGACAGGTAGACAGATGATAGATCAATGAATGAACAGAGAGACAGGTAGATAGATAGATGGATAGAAAATAGGTAGGTAAGTAGATAGATAAATTGATGAATGAACAGATAGATGATGGATAGAAAGATAAGTAGATAGATAGATGACAGGTAGATAGATATAGACAGTAGATAGATAGATAGATAGATAGATAGATAGATAGATAGATAGATAGATAGATAGATAGATGAGAGATAGGCAGGTAGATGACAGGTAGATAGATGGATTGACTGATTGATGAATAAACAGATAGATGAAAGAAGAGATAGATGGATAGGTAGGTAGGTAAGTAGATAGAAAGATAGGTAGGTAGGTAAGTAGATGATAGATAGATAGATAGATAGATAGATAGATAGATAGATAGATAGATAGATAGATAGACAGTAGATAGATAATAAATGTAGATAGATAAGTATATAGATAGATGAGAGTAGATAGATAGGTAGGTAGATAGACAGATGAAGAGACAGGTAGGTAGATAGATAAATGATAAATAGATGAATTGATGAATGAACAGACAGATGGATAGAAAGATAAATAGGTAGGTAAGTAATAGATAAACAGATGAATGATAGGTAGATAGATGATAGACAGTAGATAGATTGATGAATAGATGAATGAAAAGATATATAGATAGATGATAGATGAAGAGACAGGTAGGTAGATAGATGATAAATAGATATATGAATTGATGAATGAACAGACAGATAGGTAGATAGATAGATGGACAGACAGGTAGATAGACAGATGATAGAGATAGATAGGTAGATAGATTGATGAACAGATGAATGAAAAGATATATAGATAGATGATAGATGAAGAGACAGGTAGGTAGATAGATGATAAATAGATATATGAATTGATGAATGAACAGACAGATAGGTAGATAGATAGATGGACAGACAGGTAGATAGACAGATGATAGAGATAGATAGGTAGATAGATTGATGAATAGATGAATGAATAGATAGAAAAATAGATGAATTAAGAGACAGATAGATACATAGATGATAAATAGATATATGAATTGATGAATGAACAGACAGATAGGTAGATAGATAGATGGACAGACAGGTAGATAGACAGATGATAGAGATAGATAGGTAGATAGATTGATGAATAGATGAATGAATAGATAGAAAGATAGATGAATTAAGAGACAGATAGATACATAGATAGATATACACAGATAGATACACAGATAGATATATAAACAGATAGATAGATAGATGGATGGGTGGATGGGTGAGGCATGGGGAGGCAGGAAGTGCCAGAATAATCCCCACTTCACAGATAACGAAAGAGATGCCACAAGGTGATGTAACCCACTTTGGCCAAGGTTCAAACCCAGGTCTTCTGACTTCAGGTTTCCCGCCTCCACTAAACCAGTAGAAGTGACACGTATGACCTCAATACCTTTGTATCCCTATTTCTGTCTGAAAAGCAAGGGAGGTGTGCATGCGGAGGCTAACAACATAGACGAGCCCCCTAGCAGCTTGCCTGGAATACTTATTTATTTATAATCCTTGAGTCCCTGTTTTTAACAGTATGAAAGGCATACAACTATTTACTGCAGTTATCCAAAGAAGACTGAAAGACAAGTTAGTGAAAAGGAAGGTTAAGCTAATTAACTTCACAGCATGAAATAATTGTTCTGGACAAGTCAATGGAATTCTAAAGAAAATTTACATTTACAAACAAGAGAAAACACATTCTGAAATGTGCCACTGCCGCGAAGCCCCTTCTCCTCCCCACCCTGAGCAGGCCTCCGTATATTTGTGTCAATTATTTCACAGTGGCGGAGGATGCTCACATAATCCTTTGCTGTTACAAAACACCTACGTCTACATTAGCTCATTTTCACACACAACGACACTGGGAAAGAGACGAAACAAGAGTTATGTCCATTTTAAAGAGGAGAAAGTTGATGCCCAAAGACAATGACTTGTCCACAGTAAAAACAGCTTTCATTCAGCAATCATTTATCAAGCACCTGCTCTATGCCGAACACTGGACTAGTTGCTGGCTACAGAAATGAAGAAACAAAAGAAAACCTAACAACAAAATAGTTCCTGCCCTCTGGGAGCTGAGTCTCCAATTCAATAACATTTCCAGGTTTACAAAGCACTTTTTCTACAACAACACTACGAAGTATGTAGAATAGGTATCGTTGGCTTCATTTTACAGATGAGGAAACTGAGGCTGAGAAACAGCCAGAGCCAGCATTGAACTAGATTCTGAGTCTAGGGTTCTGTCCATTAATTCCAGCCATGTAAGTAGTAAGTGACAGTGTAGGGGTCAAGCCCAGATGTCCTGACTTGCAATCTAGTGTTTTCCCAGTGTAAGGGGAGTTCAATCAGGGGAGTCTCGGACCAGTGAGATCTCGGTTAACCCGAGGAGATTCCAGTTTGCCCTGCCATGGAGGTGGCCACTTGCCCTGGACACAGGGAAATTCCCAGGCTGGTTACCAGTGGCTGACAGGCTGGGGCTGGGGAAGGGGGATACCCTCCTGTCAGAGGAAGCTTTCTGCAGAGCCCCGTCTGTGAAATAAACGGTTTTCACTCTTTGCTGCCCTCGGATTTCCAGGCTCCTGAAGTGCAATGGATGGGGTTGGGAGCAGAGGTGGGGTCATCC